CTACTACTACTACTCTTCTTCTTCTTCTTCATTCTTTATTCCGCAATTCCGCAAAGCAAAAGCAAAAACAGGGATGGGGTGGTGGGTGGGAATCGCATTTTTAGAACTCCAATTGCTGAATTTGACTCCCTAGTTTCAGAATACAGTTGCGGAATCTGACTTTCCAGTTTCAGAATCCGGCCGATTGGTTTTTGAATCCGGCTGTAACCCATGATGCAGCATGGAACTCAGACAGACCCAAGCTGAAAGGTGAGTGGCTACCACTGTCAGGGGGTTGGAGCGGACAACCCCGGAAGTGCACCTTGACCAGGCAAACTGCACAGATGTCCAAGACGCAGCACTTCAACAAACCCTTGCAATTCAGATTGATGTGGAAAAACTAAGTTCTGAGTTCTGAGGCTACCCTTATGAGTACTTGTTAAGCCGTCAAGTCAAGTTTGCAATTGCATGATGCATTCTGGGCAAATGGACCATTCAAATTCCTTGATCAGAGTGACGAAAATTGTCGCGATTTCTGGGTCGCACGTATCTGACTATGGTCCGGCAACGACACCCTGGCGATCTCGGCCGTTTTGCAGGCACCCTTCCCGCCAGCCAGTTCCAACGAACTGGCAGAACTTCGTCAAGGACAGGTGGACTTGAGCAGCCAGCTGAAACAGGCGCCGCCACAGACCAACGTGGCGAGGGTGGCCACTACGCTGGAAGGGTGGTTTAGAATTGGAAGAGTTGGGGGGTCCACAGTTGGAAGTCCACGAAATATAACAATATATCATAATATGTTAAATTGCTGATCATTTTGAAATGTTTTCCTAGTTGACCATGGTCTTGAACAAGATTTCAACCGGCCAGCAGCTCATCACCAGCCGTCACTTGCACATGTTTTCCAAAAAATTCCTCAGCAAACTGATAATCGTTTGTGAGACCATATGTCTCCAGTTTTCCGGCAATCTCGTATGAACAATGTGTCTCTTGCAATGCTTGACAGCCCCTCCAGCCAGGTGCAGGATCTACTTGCTACCGACGTTCTTGTAAAGCGACTTCGATACCAGGATGCGGAGGAGGTAGTGCTGAATGACTCCGTGTGAACATGCCTTGATTTTGTTGTTTTCCCTTGTGTACCGGTTTTAAGACGGTACAACGTTACAACTTGCATCAACTTGCTATGCAAAACGGGTTATAACTTACCCGTTTCCCTTCCCTTTTCCAGGGCATTGCAAGCAGCATGCTCAAGAGTTCAATCGTGTGTTGAAAGGCAGACATGAAGACAAAAAAAGGTCCGGTGCTGGTGTTTGTCATATATAGTCACACACATTTGGATGCTTGGGTGTGTCATGAGAGCTTGAAGCATATTGATGCCTTTGACCGGAGCATACCCGAGCGACTTTGTTGTGATCCACAGCCAGTTTCATTTTTTGTTCTTGAGGGTAATATGGAGCGGTGAGTGTGTACCATCGGCGGGAGACATCCTGCGCCTGTAGCAACCTGAATGTGCAAGAAGTGAATGAACGTGTATAGTGAAGTTCAACTGGTGCAGAGTAATGTGGATATGCATCAAGTGTGACCATGCCATTCCTCTCAGCTGTGTTTCAGGTGGGTTAATCAAAACCAAAAGAAATTGGACCCTTTGAGCCGACACAACGAGGGCATGTTCACTGGCCAAACTGAGCAACTGAAACATGTGGAGCCACGAGCTGGGTCGGATGTGTCACTCCATGGAACGAACGTTGGTGACGTGGAGGAGAATGACCGCGAGCGAGTTCGGAAGACCATGTTCGATCCACTAGTCAACAGCTGGTAGTTTTCCACGTAACCATGGTTAGTTCTAGGGAGACACTGAGGGCAAGTCTGAAGAAAGAGGCCGAGCCGTGCTGACATTTGGGGCCACAAAGGCCGCGTGAGTTGCAACAGGCCACGGGTCCAGGACGCAAAACCAGGATTCACAGGAGAAACACATCAGAAGCCCAAGACATCAGCGTAATTCGTGGTCTTAGTAGGTCCAAGCTTCATTTTTGTACCTACCCTCGTTTCATACGTCCTTAGCCCAAAGTTTGAGTGCATAGACGGAAGGATGCGTCAGGGTGCGGCAGCTACGTCGTCCATGTACAACGTCCCATGCGCCCAAGAAAACGCCAAAAGCACTCGGACCCGGGGCCAATCAGTAAGAGGCCTCATGGAAAGTCGCAGTGCCAGTGGTCAGTCTCACCGACGAGACCAGTTTTTGATGCTATACCCAGTGCAGGGAGAGTGCCGAAGCGGTACTCATGTAGACTGATTGCTGAGCCCCCTCGATAACAACCTCTTCATCATGGGGGGGTATTATTGAACGAGAGTCTACCTAAGCCTTAGGGGTAAAAACAGACAGGCCTCACGTGGAAGCGGGATTTGCGCGTGGTGTCCACTTTTGATACAACAAGACCCTAAGGTGTACACTGCAAATGTCCGACTTCGTTGGATGCCAGCCTGAAATGACCATGCTTCAGACAAGAAGCCACCGAAGCAGTTTCTGTCCATAAAGAATCATACAATCACAATCACAACGTACTCTGCTGCAATGGGGCCATTCGCACATGACTTGTTGTTTGTGATATACCACCCAAAACAGTGTCCAATTATGTCCAATTCAACCATATCATACTGCTTTATGAAGAACGCCAAATTTGACGAAGGAACTGGCAAGCCAGGCAGCTGTGGCATCAGAGCCAACCATTGTGCCGATCTTGGAGAAACTTGTTCTCAGAGCGGCGTAAAGGGCTTCATGATCAAGCTGTTGCTTTGTGTCCTCACAAGTCAACGCAATTTCCACACATTATGACAAAAGATAAATCTAAACTAAAGTCAACACTAAGCTACCTGGTCAACACGTTGACCATCGATAATTGTCCTCACAAGTCAACGCGTTTTGTCTCCAGCTGGAAAGGAACCTGGTCGCCTCATGAGAACGAAACTGCCTCGCTGCGGTTCTTGTAAAGGGCGCTATGAAGTCTTCGACGCAGGGCTTCTTCGCTGTTGCCTTTCCTCACTGCTGTCGATCCCAAACGGTTAGAACAATCACAGGTCGCCCGACCGAACTCATCAAACAGCTTGGAACAGCACTTCAAACTTGATGAGCCTCAAGGTGTTTCAGCAAAACCTGCTTCCCATCACGGCGATCCGGGAGCTGGCACCGGTTCACGGCCCGTTCACTTCGATTCAACGTGTGATGCAGTGCTTATGAAGCACCAGAGTGCCAGAGATCATGGACAAACATGTGGCCCAAGGCATTCCAGCCTTCATCACCAATGATATTGCATATACTCCGATACCAGTAATGCCCATGGCCTTAGCAGCGTGCGTTTTTTTTTCAATCGGGATGTCAAAGGCAGACACGAAGACAAAAAGGTCCGGTGCTCGTCCTAAATAGTCACAAAGTATCACAAAGTGTATGTTTGCGTGTGTCATGAGAGCTTGCAGCAAAAGGCCGAAAGGCAGTAAACATCAGTAAAATTGCACGTGCCACATGACCAAATTGCCATGCCATAGTGCCTTGTCGTGTTGCCATATAGCATCCACAGCAAGTTCTGTCAACACGACCTTGGATGTTACACGACCCGCACAACCCGCACGACTTCGTGTTCGCCAGTCGCCAGGAAGCCAAAGGAGCACGTCTTCGACCCAACTTGCAATTCTACGAAGCGGCGCTCCAGAGCTGCAAAGAAGGAAGACAGTGGCAGAAGTCCTTGGACTTACTGAAGGAGTGATGCTGAAAGAAGACATCAAAACCAAACAAAAAACAGCCTGGACCTCTCAGGGGTGGTTATTGGACACCCCACTTGACCTCTAAGGGACTATTAATGGACACTCTTTCCATGGTGCTGGAGGTCAGTAGTAAAAATCCTCTATTGATCTAAAGCCGCCATCGTTCGACTTTTGATGGAGTTTCTTCAAATGTCATCTCACGGAACAATCGTGGTCATGACTGCGCTTCGGTATAATATCATTCAGATCCCATGATAGATTTCTTACACAATGGCACAGTCCGACGGCTCCCGTTGGGCATTCTTGGATCGAAATTGGAGGGTTTCTGTCTTGGATCCCCTGCCCGCATGGCATCTCACGCCGCATCAATCGCACTCTCATCTGCCTCAGGAGGCGCAAGGCCGCGGTTTCCGCGGCGAAGCCTTGTCATCAGGCTACCAGTCCGCGATGGCCGCGTGTGCTGCGGAAGAGAAGTGGGGTGTGGTTCATGGACTTTTCGAAGAGATGCAGAAAGAGATGACTGCAGATGTTGAAAGCTACAGACTGGCCATGGAGGCAAGCCATGGGCTCAAGTGCCCAGGGAATACCATAGAATTGCTCAGGAGTGCGGAGGAGCAGCTTGGCATTCAAGGCTGACCTTCATGGAGTTGAGAAACAAGTCCTGTATCCAGTGTATCCAGACACAGAACTCTCCGGGGTTTTCTTTCATATGTTTTTTCAAGTGTTTCACACGTGTGATAATCTTATCCCTAGTCCTTTCCCACTCTTTTTCCTGGATGCGTCCTTCCTTCACGTGTTCTTTCTCACCAAGGCAAGAGGTTGAACCCAGCAATGAGATGCTGAACTTGGCCTTGAAAGCTTGTGCCTCCATCTGCCTTGGTCATGTTTGTAAGGGGGAAGTACTTGGACTGAAGGAGATTAAATGAGATGGATCTGAGATCAATGGAGTTCCTGCAAAAACGAACAGCTCCAAGTTCAAACATTGACGCATGTTAATAACTTGCTTGCGTCACTTCGAGAGGAATCTTTGGGATCACCATTTGAATCAGTTTGTGCAGACTTTAGACGCACCTATATACTAGGAAAAACGCAAGCTTTTGCATGTTCTTTTCTCTGGCTGGATAAGCGATAGATCCTTTGCCAACACAGCACGTGTACAAAAACACATCTCTTTTTAGGATGGATTCTGATGCATCGTTTCCCTCCCAAATGCAACAGATAATCGATCATCTTGGGAACTTTTAAAATTGATGCCGGTCAAAGACCCAAACCGGTGTAGATATCGGATATCCACAGCCAGAGTTCGGTCTGGCCCAATGGCTCACTTCCGAATGTGCCTTTCCTGTTTTTTTGGTTTTCGCTTTCTGGTTTTGCAAAAAGAACCGGACCAACTCTTCATGAACCGGACCACATGGTGGAGGCCTTGTTTTGATCGAAGTCAGAGGACCCGATGTGCTCGAGCACATCGCTCGCTCCTTTCAGACCCAGTCCAGATCCCGTCACCAAGGTAAATGTGGACAAAGGACCCGGAACACCTGGGGTACCCAACTGGCATAGTCTCAGGGGAATCATTCTGGGTTTCTTCAGTCCGGTTCTTCACCCCGTTTCCGAGGTGCTGCCACGAACAGCTGGGCCGAGGCCTTGCAGATCTTGGGACGTTTCCGCTCGCGTGGCGTGGCGCCCGTGGCTCGACCCGGGTGGTGCGGAGTTCGCGGGAACGAGAACGCCCAGAGGGTCGGGAGTTTTGTTGGGGACCTTTGAGGTTGTAGGTGTAGCCAAGGAACAAAACGTCGGGTTTCAGAGGTATTGCCACTGTAGGGCGCCATCCATGCACTCGTCCATGCGAGTGATCATGTGAGATCAATCCCTTGAAGTGATGGGTACCGACTGGATGCAGATGTCGTTTCAGGAGAGGCAACAAAAAGAACCTTCCAGTTGGATGCCCCGCTGGTACCAAATATGCGCAGAGTGTGCACTGCCCTAAATGCCAAAAGGTCTGACCTGCCGTATACAAGAGAATAAGAATATGCTCCAACCCAGTGATCGCTTGGTCTGCAAACATGTTTCCTTGCTTGCGAAAGACGCCTCATCGCTCAGTGACTTCAATCCGAGGATGCAGACGCATCACGCCGCGCCATCGACCTGCTCTCGAACCGTGCGCGCGAGCACTTGTTTCCAGAAAAAGGGCCCTCGCGCCGCCTGTGGTCCGAGCTGCGGCCGTGTGGCCATGTCGTCTCCTTTAAACTTGTGTTATGTTTTGAGTGCAGGAAGGATGACACTGTGCCGTTAGAGCCCAACGGTAAAAACAACGACTCAATCTGCCAGGCACATGGATGTTGGGGTGGTGTGGCTCGTCCCATCCAGGGGCCGTGGATGTGATGTGGGCACCCCTACCTCCTTCCTCCCATGGATAGCACCCTGTCCTCCATGGAACGTCATGGAACCGCTGGTGTTTGACTTTCTTGGAAATATCTATCTTGGAACCGACCCAACCGACCCCTAAGTAGAGGGGTCTTGCTGAGGTGAACGGGAGTCTTCAGACCCTATCAGCAAGTGTGCGCCAATGAGGCCGGCCATTTTTTGGCACAGGATGTGATTGGACAGCTTTTAGGAAGACTCTCAGGAGAAACTCACTGTAATTGTGTCATTGGTTTTGGGGGGCTGGAATGAGCTTCCCTTTCGGGCTTCAGTGGCAGGTTTTGGAGTGCTAAAGCCGCTAGGGTTAACACTGGTCACACCCCACGCTGGCTGTTCACGGCCCGTTCCGCGCCGGACGTGATGGACAGAACTGCAGGTTGTGGCCACAGGGTGAGTGGGTTTGCCGAGTGTTCGTCGGATGCCCACCGTCCGGAGGGACAGAACAGGACAATAAGACCCCTTTTCAGGTTCCATGTGTGTATCTTCCCATCCCAGACACTCCATGTATGCCATGCCTACATTGACCCCCCAAACCACCCTAATGTAGGCATATATGGCATACATGGTGTGTCTTCCCATGTATGCATTTCCTCCAAATCCGACTCGTCCTGCACTGTCGAAGATCTTCACCCTAGTCACAAATGTGCAAAGTTCGAGCAACCCAAGACTCACATCGCTCCCCTATACTTGGGAAGAAGTGAAGAGTCAATAGGAGTCCATACAGTATGACCAACCAAGCCTTCGGCCCTTGGCATGCTCGAACCTGTGTGAACCTGTGTGAATTCGTATCCACGCATAGGTGCCCCATCAACAACGCGGCTTCATGTCGGACACTGGGACAGGAACCTCCATTTCGGTGCTTTCTCCTTGCCTCCAAACTCGTTAAAGAACATCGCTTGTAATATGGGGATCACATTTGCTCCAAGATGCAAATGAGTGTGGGTGTGTATTTGAAGATCACGGGAGACTTCTCCCCCTTTCTTGCCCCTCTTTGACTGGGTATTTCCTGGTCGATGTCGCTGCAACAATGCGCAGGCACGACTGGACTCCAGTCTCAGGCAGGTTCGTCGAAGACCCGTCCCCGCTACCACGGTGATCGGACTGCGTTGCAGAAAGTGGCCCCAGCCGGCAGGTGCTGCCATGGCCGTCCGTGAAGAACGTGAGACGAACGCGGTGGGGAAAAGAGCAGAGGCGGAGTGAGATGACTTGAGCAGTATCTGCAGTGCGGACTGGGGTGGTGCACAACATATTTCGGACTGGGGAATGGGCCTATTAAATACCCAGACGCTCTTGGCTCTTGGTGAAAAAACCCAGACCCCTCCAGAGGATTCGGGTCCAACCCCTCCAGAGGATTTCCGGGCCGAACGGGTCGCATTTGGGTACTACATCTATTGTTCTTTTTTGGTAGTCATTGGAGGTTCCCAACTGCGAACTCAGCGTTCGCAGCGTTGTCCAGCGTGGTCTCATTCACTGAACACACCACGATCCACGCCAAGGCCGGTCTTGGGGACATGTCCCGTTCTGGTTGGGATGGCCGGTCTGACGGAGAAAAAGAACGCCCTGGCAGCCATGGCAGCCACGCCAGCGCCAGTGCCAGACAGTGCACTAGTGCCCGTGGAGGTCGAAACGGCAAACCGAAGTGCTGGCAGAAAATCATGTGAGCGTTGTCTGTCTGTCTGTCTGGACGCCAAGAGTTTGAGCTTGCATGTTTTGAGGCTTCCGCTCATGCGGACTAGCAGCCTACATGCCTGCAGTGACTCGTGATGACTTGTGTAACTTATCGCTGGATGGAAATCGAGCCCCATGCATGCAGAGTCTTGACCGGTTTGGGTGCTCATCGATCATGTTTGGGTCGTGCACCAGAAAAAAACCATTGGATCCAGCACGACCCAGGACCTGAAACAACTCGTGACTGTCCAAAGGGTCGATCCCGGCGGAAGAGGTCACGAATCGTTGTTCAAAACAAGAGGTCACGTATACAGACTCCAAAGAGGTCACGAACTGTTTCAGTCCTGGAATAGACCTGTTTTTGTAGGGGTCACGCTTCATTTTCTAGGGTGCTTGAGGTCACGTCCGGCTCAGGTCCTGGTAGTGCTTTTGTTTGCCTCTTTCGAACAAGTGGGATGTCACCGACAATGTCACCCCCTGTTGGAGGGATGGATGGATCCCGAGTCAAAAAAAGGTTCCGCATGTAACGGAGCATGACCGGGGCAGCAACTGGATGGGTTGAGCAGCTTCGATCAGCGCAAGTTGGATGGATTTGATGTGTTGAGCAGATGTCTTCGTGACACAAGAGGTGAAATAGAGAGAGAGAGAGAGACACACACACACACACCTGTCTCGGTTGTACGCCTGTAGACAACCGCCTGGCGGATGTTTGCTCCAGCCATTGGTGCAATGGAACACTGCCAAATATGCAAATGCGCCATTTCAACAGCAAGTCATTTCTCTCTCGCAAATACAAACTTGAAGCTCAACGAGTTTGCTCTCCAACCCCAAAGCACATGGCATCAGTTCACCTTTTGACCTCTCTTGACAAGCACTACAGATGTTTGATTCCGCTCGGTACCGCTGAGTCGAGTCCTTTGTACAGCACTCTTCAGGGCCCGGCCGGTCGCTGCGTTCGGTTCATGCAGTCCCGCTCTCAGACGAGGGTTGGATCATTGGTTCACAACATGGGAGGATTGGAGCAAATCAGTTTGGGAATTGGTTCAGACTGCAGTCCAGTGGTTTGGTTCATGTGAAAAAGTAGTAGATGGCACACTCCCCAAAAGGATCCAAAAGGTGGTTTATATGGACCCCCATCTAAAGGACATCTTCAATTTTGCACCATCGAACCTCTGAAAACATTCCACAGAGCTTCGTCAGGAGCTTCGTCGGTCCCTGGGCGGAGATTTTGGTCCAGGTAGCTGAGTTCATTTCATTTGTTGAGTCTTCCAGGTAGCTGCATCACCATGCATCACCTCCCTATAGGGTACCTGCGACCTGCTTGCTCCCCATGGTCAACAAAAAAGGAAAAGTGTATCTTCCAAGCTCCAGCGACTGCAGTCCAAATCATGTGTATAAGACCGATGTTTCATATAGGGTTGAGTTCGCTCATGCGAGATGACACATCCAACTGGTATGCAAACCATGACTTGGCCATGCAGTCGTCCAACGGTTTTGGATACTGATCAATTTGTAGTTTGTCGGATTCATTTCAGCGACAACAAGGCTCAAGAACACCTATTTATCGGATTGGACAAGAGCTAGGAGTTCATCCTCCAATTTACCCCGAAGTTGCTGTGGCTGTGCGCGACATGTGATCCATGGCGCCAGTGCGTCAAAGATTCCGTGTTGCTTCATGCTGAAACCTGCTGAAACCTTGAAACCTGCTGAGGTCATGTTTTCTGCCTGCCTGTCCATTTGCAGAGACCCCAATGGTGTGGATTCGGAGGAGATCGCCCAAAGCACAGACTTCAATCCACAGTTCGAGGACTCTGCGACGGGTCGACGGGTCGACCGCCCGGTGGAGGGCCGAAGAACAACGTCGACCGTCCAGGTGCAGGTGGCCGCTGGACGTGATGGGCCTTTTTCACTTTGGTCAGGGGCCATTGGGACTATTCTCCCCCAAAAGTCGCCTGAAGAACAGACAGCTCACGGTGTCCGGGCGCCGTCTGGTGACCAGATCGTTCATGGGACTGGAATAGTTACTTGTTATACTTACTAGCTTTTGGTGATAATAGGGTAAATGTTTTGGTGTTCCAGTCCCATGTATTAGTCTGGGAAGATGAAGAGGCAACCCTGGAAAATGGACGAGGAACTTTGCACGGTCGTTTCCTTTTTGCAAGCTAAGCAGAACCAGAGGGTCAGCACGTGGAAGGACCAGCTTGATCCAACCAGCTCCTTCACAGTGACCCTTTGTGGAGGTAGATGCGTATGGTGTATGGCTTCCGGGGCGATTTTGCTGCGTGTCTTCTTTTTGACGATCGCACCAAGAGGATTGATCAAGAATAAAGGAACCTTCCGGCACCAAGTGAGACATGATATTCTACATTCCCGAACCCGTGAAGAGATGGAAAAAGGCTCTAAACCATCCTCACCATCGCTCATGCACGGCCGATTGCGGCTCCATACAGGACTCGGATAGCGATACAACGTCCAATGATGAGACGGGGTGCGAGCATGCCACTGGGCTGGACTGAAGGGCGTGCAATTCCGTGTGCTGGACAACACCTGGAGCATCCTGGACCCTTCAAGTTGAAGGTAGACCTATATAGAGGAAGGGGGAGGAGAACAAAACCCTAGTTTGAAAGGGGTAACATGGGGTAACTATTTGCCAACTTGGATACGAGCCACAGTAAGGAAGCACAATCTAGGGCCAGGACTGTTTCCTCACGGCTGTCCTGTTTGTCGCTGGCGGTAGACCTGCGTTGACCACTTTGGAGGCTCACTCATCAAAAAACATAGAGCTGCTTATCTGGGCATGTACCAGGACCCACAAAGGGGGTGGTCCACGGACACCCCGAATCACCTCTTTTCGGAGCTGTCAATAGAAGCCTGTTATTGGGGGTCCTGGTACGAGCGCGCATAGGCTTTGCCGCTCCAGACCCACCTATACAACCAGTGCCTCTGGGCTCGCTCATGCGACTGCTCGGCTTTTACTGAGGGGCGATCCAAATATATGCTCCCACGGAAGAAGCTGACCAGAGTGGAGGAGAGCCACTTTCAGCAGGTCGATGCGTTTTACCTGCTGCGTGGTTGGAGCAGCTATAGCTGGAGCCATGTCTTCCACGAATCCACGAAGCAGCTCTGGGGGCTGGTAGCTTCGGAGACCTCATGTTTCATTGGGATCCTGACAAAGCAGAGGCAGATGAGGTTGAGGCATGTGAGTTTTTTGTTTACATTCGTCATCCATTGATACACAGCTTTCATTGATATACACCATTTTAGGTTGAGACCTCCAAGTTCATACTCCCAGGGCCCAAGAACCCTAAAATACCCTAAACCCAGGGTTGTTTCACACTCGGTCCTCGTAAGCCGCGCCAGGAGCTGGAGTGGATCAAGCCCTTGCTGGATCGGTGACTCGGTCTAAAGGACCTGCCGAAATCCATGACACCATGGAGGTCGGGGTCTGGGAGTCCGGGAAACACCCGTGGCACCCGTGGGCCATGGGCCACTGGCCCGCGTGGGTTTGGGCCATGGGGCTGGGGATCAGAAGAGAACGAAGCAGCCGTGGCTTGATCGCGCCCGAGCGAACGAGCGAACGTCGACTCTTTTTGGGCTTGAAACCAGATTGATGCGGGGGCAAGAAGGACTGAACCCCCTGAACACCAATGAATATAACCCTAAAGAATCCTTAGGCTCTGGCAGGGGTCGGACCTCTTCGCAGGGGTCCAGACCCTAAAAGCTCTTCGGGAATATGAAATTCGTTTTGGGTGGGGAGCAACCTTTGCTCCCGCACAGATGCGACCTGGTACGCGACGGTATGGCGGTTTGCACTGAAACCCAGCTTGAGATATGCGACCGGCCTTCCTAGCTTCAGAGAGAGAGAGAGAGCGGGTTTGGCAGGGGGCATTGTTGATGTTTCAAGTATTTCTTTTTAAAAAAATCATATATGGTATTTCTTAAAGGCATGTTCAATAGATGCCCTCCATAACCCCAGATGTAAATCTGTCGTGTGCGAAGACGGTCGAGTCCTCGTTCTCGTCGATTTCTGCGGAGAGGGCAACGACTAAGGCTCTGGCCGAAGATCGACCAAGCACTGCACAAAATCATGAAGGAAGTGGTAGAGCCCAAGATCCAGGAGACTTGGTTTTTACACCAGGAGACTTGGGTTTTACAGATTTTACCAAGATCCAGGAAACTTGGTTTTTACAGATTTTAGATGGATTGACTCCTTTATATAGTCAGAGCCTTTTTTGCATTTTTTGTGTGGGTGTGTGACTGTGAGTCTGTAAGGTGTTCTTGTTCAGTCTTGAAGAAGAATTTCCCTTTGTGTTTGGACATCTCCGATCTAGCTACTTGCAGCAGATGCTGAGCTGGGAGGACAAAGCTTGTTCAGCAATCACCTTGACCCACCAAAGTGAACTCAGAGGGCGACAGGGCACACAAACTTGTTTGCACCGTGCACCATAGTTTGGAACGATCTGCCATATTGGAACGATCATGTGTCCTTTTTGTTCGGGGTCCAGCATTGACACTGAGGAGCCAGAATGATGTAATTGAAGATTATCACCACCAAAAAAGGGTGAGTCAAAACTACCTTAACTTCCTGCATCAGTTCAATGAAGAAAACAGTAAACAAACAGATTAATTATGTGCGCAGCTTGTCTTCCGTGTCCCATCAAGCACAGCACAGCGTCTGAGGACAAAGTTCCTTTTGCGCTGAAGGGCCTGTCGTTTACAAAGTTTACCTTAGGTAAGACGCCGCTGGTCTGCAATTCACAGTGGAGGTTCGGTCCACCCTGCCACTACGTACTCTGATTTCTCATGTGGTGGTTTCTTATGGCTAAGCGGCTAACCTAGCTGCTCCACTTGGACCTCAACGGTTTTGCGATATCTTGCGACCCGCGACCGCCTGTGGAGAGGCCTGCGTACAGAAGCCCTTGGATGGGGAAGTATGTACATGCATGTAGTACTGCATGTACTGTTCTTTCGGCAAATTTATTTAGCGTCTCCTTTACCAAGAAAGCCAAACTGAGTTTTGGAGCCTCAACCGCTCATGTTCAAGTGGTACATGGTCATATCTCAAGAACCCTTTGACCCTGAATGGGGACGGACTATTCATGGCGGTTGGCTTAACCGGTTACCCATCCAAACGCTTCGACCCTGCTTGCTTGCAATTTTGTTCGGTCAATGATGGTGGTTCAAGCCGTTCGCTTGATCCTCCAAGTTTGACATTTGCGGTAAATGTCAATCTCCCAGTCGACTCAAACAATTCCACACCGGAACCATCCACTCGATGTCACACATTCACACATTTTTGTTTAAAAAAATCTACAAGACGGGTGTGAGAAACTCTCACACGACCAATTCCTCCATCCCAGGCAACCCAATGTCGGGCCCATCACCATCTGGGATGCGCCCTGCTTGAAAGATGACCAGTTTCATCGCGGCCTCGCACCTCGCAGCAAGACGTGGCATCCGTCGAGACTCAGCGCTCGAGCATCGAACCGAGACTCGTTGAGACGTCGTCGGCCATGACTCTCGACCCGGTCTGAAGACGACACCAACGTCCGTGTGGCACCATTCTAGAAGGTGGGGTATACGATGGTTTCAACGTTCCACCTTACTTCGACTCGGGCGATGCGGGTGGGCGAACAACATGTGGAACCACTGCGATGTGTCGCTCTCCGCGCATATATCGCTCACGCTGAACCGGTGGTGTGTATAGAGGGGGCCCTGGATGCGGCATGTGGTCTCATGTGGCTCCACTTCAAGAAGTGTCCAAAATAAAAAGTATGGTGAAATCCTTCACTATACCTAATGATAGGTAACACATAGCAACAGTTGGGTTCCATGTTTTGGAAGCGCACATGAATTACCCCCCTTTTCGCGCAACTGCAAAACTGCTACTTATAGATCACTTTTCCAGCAGAAAGTAGTGTTCCAACCGCTAATTTGAGCGGTCAGGCAACCCTTTTTGTTATCCCTGGACGGTAGACCATGGTGCCTTTTTCCCGTTAGAAATCAGGTCTACGAACAGATCGACTCTTTGACCTAGAAGATGTCGTCCCCTTTGACTTCTCAGTCCGGGGTTTCCGGCCACACCGTATATACCGGCGTCACCGTGGCTTCGTTGGTTTCACACAGGGCGGCTTCGTTGGGGATGTCTGAAGAGAAACATGATGTGACGAGATCAGACGGTACCTACCCCTAGGCCGGCTCCTGTCTTGAAAGGCCTTTCGCGTCTCCTCTCTTCGTGTTCCAGATGTTCCGGTCGTTCAGGAGCTGCATATTCAGGTGGAGCTGAAGAGCAAGCTTGTCGATGCCGCTTGGGTGAGTGGAAGCGGGGGCGAGCGCGCCTCTCCGCGCCAAGTCTGGCCTGGAGGATCTGAGAGGGAGCCGGGGGGCGGCTGGGAATGAACACCAAAACATGGATGTTCTGGAGATGAGGCATCCTTTCCTTGAGAACTCGGAAGGGGGTCAATGCTGTTTGGTCCTGAGAAAGAGATGACTCAGTGACCCCAATGCATGTGTTGAAAGCTTTTCCATATTGTTTGGGCTGCTTGGGTGTGTTTCGGACATGTCGAGATCCTGGACCTGCAGGTCGAGCTGGCCATTGGAGCTTTAACAGCCGGTATCCGGACATGCTCCCTGAAAGGCACGTTGGTGGTGCGCTTGGATCCTGGGTTTGGAAGAAGGGGAGGTTGTGGGATGAGAATGATGAGGTGGGGTGAAGCAGTCAAGCTTGGTAGATGATGCTCAGAACCTGACGAGTTTGGAGAATTCTGGGTGATTGACCTTCCAAGTCCCAGGAGGAGGGAGGATCTTGCTTCGACAGGGCAGAATGTTGCTGACCTTGTACCCTTCGTGGGTTTACAAATATGAAAACACACACCACAACACCATGTGTATGAAGTATGTCGCTATTGGTCACAAGAAACCAGAAACTACTAACATGTTGGGGCATCGCGGCATCGCTACGTCACAAGGACGCGAATCGAACGGGGCGGTCCTGGCATACTAAGCTTAGCTAATACATCTTTGGGAAGTGCCGTGATGTCGCACTCTCTCGACCCAGGATCCCTTGCTGGACATGTCTCCGATTATCGGAGGCAGAGACGACCCGCCGGTGGGGGCTAGGTCTCGGTGATGAAGGTGATCTTCAGTTGCCCAGGTGTTGTGAGTTCCAGGATCGCATCAAAAAGAGATGCGATTCTGGGGTGATTCCAGGACTCACTGAATTTGATGTTGCCATATTTTGCCCATTTGGACTGTGATGAACTTGGATCATTGAAAGTGCAGAAAGTGCATGGATTCATGAGGGACGTCGAAATCATGTCTTGACCCCATTGAAGAATTGGTGTGGAAGAGCAAACGACTTGGGATGACTTCCGAATGATGGCCATGGTTCAAGAACTTCGATCTGTGCTCGTCATGCTGCATCTCGTCGTGGGCCGATTGGTGGGGGAATGTCCATTTGAGAGGTTTAGTGATCTACTTTTTGGATCCTCCTGTGCTGGACTTCGACTTCACCCAACTTGCTGAAATGGCTGAGCTCGGCTTTACCGAGCCTGGGCGAGCTTTGCAGGGATGGGATGGGATGGGATGGGGATCTGGCTCAGTGATGTTAAAATAAACGGTATTTCCATGGCTATAGCTTGGGTCTGTCCTATTGCAACAGTCAGTAAACAACTATCATGTTTTAGAACAGGGATGAACAAGGCCTTTACTAACCATCATCATCCACTGTTACTGGTAATATAGGATAGACCCAATCTATAGCCATCATACTATAGTAACAGTAATAGACAGCATTTCCATGGTGTTCACCGCGTTTGTAAATCATCAGGAGCACTCCAAGAGCTTTTCGAGTGGAGTTGAAATTGGAGCCCAAGTCATAAACGATATTACACTATCACATGCGGATCATGATGGATCATGTTATTGTTGCTGCATGTGTTGAAAGCAAAGTAAATGGATGGGTTGTCCTTCTTTTCTTAGATGGAGCGGTGGCACACTGCGTGTCTTCGCTTTGGTTTCGCGTTCGATCCGACCTGGAGGCTCCGACCCGCTGTACTCGCTGTACTCTCGTTCGTCACGTCCTGCACGTACCGGGCAGATCATCCGATGGGATCAGGGTCCCGTCGCTGGGCTGGCTCCCCTTCTCCATGGGTTGGCATGGGTTGGCTTGTTCCTCCTAAAGGATCAGGAGCAGGATTTGGAACCATACATCCTGATCCTTTGGGTCTATATATGTTTAGCCTTTGAGGGAGCATGGTGCGACAAGAATGTCCCACGGTAGATCCAAGGTTCGTCCGTAAATCGCACTCTGAATGATCCTGAAGTCTTCCTTTCGTCACGAGTCGATTTGATTGCCAGGAAGGTCGGCTGACCCGGATCATTGAGAACTTGATCGCCAACCGTCTGGTGTTGCCGAATGTGCTTTGGCGCCAAGCATGACACCTTGACACACCTCGACACACCTCAACACCTTGACATAGGTGTTTGTACATTGTTTTCCATGGTTTTCCTGTTTTTTTGAATCTGTTTGCACCCTGAGTACCCGGTACGCGGATCCGCGTTTGGGATGTCATGGGCTTGATCTATTGGCTTGGGGCTGGTGCTACCAACTGAGTCGTTGGTTGCTGATATATCCACAAAAGACCCTAGAAGACCTAAGAGTGCAAGCTCCAATCTTCCGAATCTGGATTTGGTTGGATTGCTGTTCCGCAGGTGCGTATTCCAGGGCCTCAATGGTCTTTTCGCACTCAGGTCTGGTTCCGGCCATTCTTGCAAAATGATGCCTGCCAGAGATGAGAAGGGTATTGGGCTTGTGCATTGCAGCACATTCCGTACCGATTTTCAGGACCATTGTGTCACAGGAAATGGTTTGAAGGGATATCTCCAGGTTTCAGAAGTTCAGTTCGACTTGCTTGACCTACAAGCTTAACAGACCAGCAAAAGTGCGCAGACGGCGCTACATAGATCAACATATCTTGGTAAAGGGGATCGACAAGGGGCTTACACCATGAAGGAACAGCACCACCATGGGTGAATTCTTGCTTGACTAGTGAGCAGCATGCAACTTGGAAAGACTACTATGCTACTGTATCCTGTTGGTCCATCATAGAAGCATTCTGCAAACAATTGGTGCTCCCTTGGGCTCATCGAACAGTGAGAAGCATGGTGAGATGATTTTGGAAGCACAGGGTCCTGGCATGTCCTGGCACTCATTTTTGCATACCAAGAAGGTGTCCTCCTGTTTGGTGTTTTCTGTTATGTTTACAAAACCCATCACATGCATGCTTACGGCAGAGTATTAGACCTTTGATATGCAGAGTATCGTGATAGATTGCTTATGACCGAGGGTCACGCTTCTGACATATCAAGAATTGTGAGAGTCATTGAGAGTCCACCAGAAAAAGAACAAACAAAAATACAGTATACAGTAGACAACAGCTAGTTGTCAGCTTAAATAGAATTCTAGTCAGTTGCTGTGATGTCAGAGTTGTGATATATTTCATCACTGCAGCAACTCAAACACATCGACTGCCGGACCTTCGGACCTTCCAGCGGAGTCCGTTCGATCCGCTCCGTTCGATCCGGTGCAGTCGGAGACGGATGGTCCAGGTACCGAAACCGTCTGGTTTGTATTGCTGGTTCGGACGGTTGGGACTGGAAACGGATGGGTCATGATGGGGTCCAAACCCACCAGAGAACAAGAATCAGCAGTCTCACCATGCAGAGTCCTTTCCTTAAGCCTTATAATAGTGGATTGAGAGTAGTTCACAGACCCCAAGGTCGGTGGTTTGGACTCCCATCTGTCGACAGGACATCGAATCTTGGGGTCGTCCGTGCCACCGAAAAGCATTGTGGACGTCACCAGGGTGGGTGCCCACATCTCTCACATCTCTCTGAGTCTTTCACGCCCAGGAAGAGATCGTGGACACCGCCACGCTAAGGGACCCCAAACCGGTGGGTGTCTTGCGTGTGAGCGTGTGGAGCTCAGCGATGCACAACCGTGGTCCGTGGGCATTGGTGGTTGGAACATACGATCGAGTGGCCATGGAATGTGGAAGAGTGATGTGACAGAGTGTGGAACTTGGAAGAAGGTGTCTTGCGAAGTGAGCGAACCTTGACAGGAACAGAGTAATCTCTGACTTTCTTGTTCGCCATGCTAAAGCTGTATCCTAAAGGGGAGCTGAAAGCGCGCCCTGGTGCTCCCGCTTGGTGCCAAACGACCTGCGCTCTGGCGGGTCTCGTATGCTTGTGCTCAGGTGATTGAAGGTCGACACCTCTACGGCAATGACTCCCACTTGTTCAGCAACCCCACCAGCGATCCCTACGTCCGGATTCGCTTGGCGGACGACGAGACCCGGCGAACGTCGCCCAACGCCGCGGCGATCGTGCGTCCCGAGAGTTGGGTCTCGCCGTGCCGATCGTGGCGAGACCCTCGGTGAGTTGGGCATTTTCTGGGCCGAAAGTCAACGACTTCGAAGTCGTTGAAACGAAGACGCACCGGATGGTAGTCACAATATAGTTAACAAGATGTCACGGAGACGCACGGATTGGTCACGGTATAAGCTGTGTTCATACCGGTCGACCTATTGTAGCAGTACTCCTATACGACGTACTACGACGTACGTTCCGCACTCTCACACCCAAGTAGGATCCTCTCAGCAAGGCAAGTTCAATCAAAGGGTATGCAGGATTTTGTGCCAGGGGACAGTCCTAAAGTCAAGGGGGAGTCCATGGGGGGTTAGCGGAGGTTGAAAAGCAAACAGTGTGACTGGAACGGAGGGTCACCTCACACAGAATGTGGTGTGTTTTGTTTTGTGTTTTCACATTGGGCAGGGAAGGGTTTCTTGCCAATGTAGATATTCCAACTATGCAGAATTCCTGCCCTGTGGCTGGTTCAATGGATCATGTCATGAACCAGAAAGCTCAAAAGGTATCAACATGCTGCGCAGTTGGAAGATCCAGGTATCTTACAGGCTAGAAGCTAGGGGTGAGGGGACCGCAGTTTAGATCGTTTTCCAATGCCTTACGTAATTTATCTCCTATAATTCTGACACTGCAGGTCAGGTCAGGCATTAGTTTCCTGGCAAAGATGAACTGTTGAGGAAAAGACTTGTACACAGGAGTGGAACATAGTGGAACACATGTTTGGCCTTATATGTTAACCGACTCAGTAGACTCAGTAGACACCCAGAGTCGTCACGGATTATCATAACTCCCCTTCAACACTGCGCCAAACACACGCCTGTCGACGCGCGTCAAAACGTCAGGAATGGCAGTCCTGTCGGCGAGAAGAGACCTGCCACCCCAAGTGGCTAACGGATCCAGAGACGAAGCTTGGCAATGCAGCCCCTCCTTACAGGTCAGCTGGACCTCATGTTACTTGGGTCAGCTGGACCTCTATGGAGGTTTCAGGACCAAGTTTTACTGGATCATACCTGGACGGATTTGTGTTCCCCCTTTGACCACTATAAGAAAAAGATGGCAGTTGGCTCCTAAGGTCTCAGTCCGTACCTGGAAAATGGGTACAACTAGACTATACTGCCTGTGTCTTTAAAAGGGGTCAATGACGGTCCATGTCACAGTTTCGACAGCAGACGGGTCGCTGTTGGGTCACAAGCGCCGGTTGCCGCCGGTTGCTCTGTCTCGACCGTTTCCGATGGACGTCCATGCTGGACCAGAATGAGATCCCCCCCTGCAGACCGACCCCAGCGGGCTCTTCAGAGTCCAGTCCTGCAAGCGGGGAGGGGTTGTCCGACCTTGTCACGGTCGCCAGGTATCTCGGAAACAAAGGAAACGACCTAAAGAACCCCCAGTGAAACCTGAAGAGATGTGAGTATATACCTCAAGAACCGCCAGATGTACGCCATACATACCTTGAAAAAGGACCCCCAGTTCGGCGCCTCGTAGCAGACTTTCAGGCTCTCATGCAGTGTACTGTCAGAGCCCCAACTTCGGTCTCAGGTGGCCGAGGAGCGGCCCAGATGGGTGGCAATAGAGCTCTAGATGGGTGGCACTGTTGACCGTTTTGGGAGCACCAGTTCATTCTCCACCTCTCAACCAACTATGGCGCCAGACAAGATGACGCGCCCCTTCTTCCCTCTTTGTTCCCGCGCGCCTCGTGGGTGCCTGAGGATCGGAAGCGAACAGATCTCCCCTGATGAGGTGCAGCATGACTTTTTGGTCTTTGACACTTGGCCGATGCAAGTGAAGATGAAGATTAAGCTCCTATAGGAGGTGGAGAAGGTTCCTTCTCCATTATGCTGAACCTTCTCCGTGTTGCTCTAAAAACGTATGCATTTATTGTTGTTTTTTCTCAACATTCGATGCTTTCAAAGAGGCAATCTTAGCTCTTAGCAGAGGCTATAGTGGCATGAGTCGCTCCTGAAATAACTGATTTACACGTGTGTAATGAGCCATGACAGCCGTACATTGTGTGAGCAAACGCTCTGAGGATGTGGGCCAAACTCTTCGGATTGAAGTTTTTGACTGGAATCAGATCCGGGATGATGTGCTGCAACTCGTCCGGGATGGAGATCGATTTATTCGTGCTGCGACGAGCATGATAGAGGCTAATATCCTCTGAGTTCAAGTGGATTGATGGGATGAAAGACGATGAGTGTTGGACTCTGAAGTGCAGAGAACAAGAGCAGCGAGGATTTGGTAGACTGCCTCTGGGCTGCTATGGATGGTCTCCTACCGTGGAAGATGAGGTATAGACCGTTTCATAGACTCAGCCGCCCCCCAAATAAGGGGGTACTTCCATGTACCTATCTCCGCGATAAGACTATGAAACGTACTATATTTCGGTTGCTACACATGGAGATATTTCGTTTCGAAACATCTAGTTAGTAGCTTGCTAGCTGCGTAGAGGCCGCCCTTCGGAAGTTCGCCGTCCGGACCACCGAAGCTGGGCGGGAACCGCCGAACTGGGCGCTTCGTGCTCAGGATTGGACGGAGCGAACCGATCACTGTTCAGGATGCCTTAAGTCATTCCAGGAGCGAAGCGTAAGGGAAGAGACCGCGCGGGAGTTATGTATCAAGCGTCCGGAGCTTGGAAATGCGAGCTGGGTGGTATACGCAGATTGGGTTGTTTTGTGATGGCACCCTGTGTGAGTTGTTCTCCGACCATGCGCACACACACCAGTCAACTTGGATTGATATCCCATGGGGCCGTCCTTGGTTTGTTTGTTTGGGTGTTTTGTTCTTCAGGTCTTTACTGCTTTACAGCTGGCATGAAACATCATGTCACTTGGACACTCATGTACTGCACTGAATCATGGCTGTGTTCAGATTTGCATAGATTGGTGTTTTTTTTGATCCCAGTGTCACGTCCCAAGCAATAGCCTGGGTCTTTGGGGGAAGAATGAGTCGCGAATCCTGACGTGTCATGGGGATTTGCGTCCAAAAGCATGGCATTAATATGCATTACTTGTAATGCTATTTCGGCTACATCGAGAAGACAAGCGTTGGCAGGAAACCGCTGCAGCTTTCAGATTGCACTGGTACGCAAAAGCGCGGGCAACTGTTTCTGTGCACTGGGCCAAATAGAGGAGGTGATCATGTTTTTCTTGTTCGCATGCCGCAGACCATGTCCTGTTGCCAAACTCAACATTCTTCAGTTCTTGACTTGAAACGGCACCGCTGTCCATTGGTTTGTTTCAGGCACTTAGGCATGCTTGGGTGGCTGAAAAAAGACACACTGACCACCATAGTGTGTGCGTCTCAGCGACGTCGCGCGCGCCAATAGCTCTACCTGGCACGACTTGCGACCTGGGACCGAGGTCGTTTGAGTGGTTGAAAGTGACAGCTGGCGAACTGGACCATGATCACGCCTGTATGGTGAGAGTGAAGTTCGATGAGGTCTACGTGTGGCTTGGAGCGTCGACCATGACCTGCCGGGACTATCGACGGGTCGCCCGTACTGTGCTATTACACCATCACTCCCTAGTTCGACAAAAAGGAGGAGGAGGGGAGTCCCCTCAAAAAACCTTGGAACATGCAAATGATATTCATCATTTTTCTCTACCTTTTTGAGTGGAGAATGCAGTGTCTCATATTGGATGGGAGGTTTCCCCAACCCCCGCTCCTGCCCGTCAGGTAGGTCGGTCATGGGCGATCGTGAAGCCAATGAACACATCAACGAACATGACCATGGAACAAAAACAACCATGCCTTTTCTATGTGTTTGGTGGTTCCGGATCATGTGAAGAAGCTACACTAGTGTTCTTCCATGTGTTTGGTGCATGACCCGACGTTCGAGTTCGGACCCACTCGACCGTTCGGACGAACGTTCTGAGGCCCGCAGACATCGCAGCTTGGAGGAAGACGTCCACGTGTTGAAGTCACCCAATAGAGGGGGCGAAGTCAGGCAAAATTTGATCTTTTGGAACATGTATATATTTATATATATACATATGTTTTTATGTTGGGACGGAATATGTGGCATGTATACAATTATTAATAATATCTATTTAACTTAAACTTTCTGAGGTATATGAGGGTTCAATTTGAACATCCAGTGGGTATAATCTTAGACAACTTCAAAGATATCTTGTGTGCGACAAATTGTCATGTTTGATTTGGTCGAATGATGTTTGGTGGATCACCATAAGCCAAAACAAGAAGGCATCAAAGACAGCTTGAATCGTATGATTGAACATTAAGTGCAGAGTTCAAGACCAGCCCTTGAGCACTTGGCTGAGTTTGGCTTGGTCTATCTAAGTTGGTCAATCTTGTTCTTGACTTTGCCCTTCTTCCCTGACTTCTGATTCTGAGTTGGCCTCGGAAAGAAACAAACAAAGAAAGACGGATGCAGAAATCACCAAAGAGATCAAACACCAAACTCAGGACTTCACCTCTGCCAAGATTCAGGCGCGTCTGTCGCGAACACGCGCACGACGGCCGCGAACACGCGCGTTGCGGGGCGTTGCATGTGCATTCCTTCCGGTGCCCGGACGAAGGGGGAGGGCGAGACTAGGTGGAACGGGAAGTTGTTCAATTCAAAGCGTTCGTTTCGTTCGTTTCGGCGACGGCCTGGCGCCATGAGGATCAAATCTTATTGAAATGGTTTGTCCCTTTCAGGTTTCAAGAATTTTTGACCAGCTCACTAATTAAACTTCTCAGATCTTCTCAGCATAGAGATGACATCAGATGACACCATGCACCATGACGCATCATCCCCCTTATAGGCCTATCTTCACCACCACTGTTCTTTTCATTTCTTCGGCATTCTTCGCGTGCACTCCCCCCAACACACCCTCCAACTTCCATCCCTTGAACATTTGGGGCGTCTCACTTCACTCTCTCCCCCTCCCCTCCGCGTTCGTTGTTTCTTCACCCACTCCCGAGACTCCGTGTTTCCCGGTCCCAAACACTCTCTCCCTGCGTCGGTGCTGCCGGACGCAGGTGAAGCTGCCGGACGGTCGGCCGCCCAAGAACTCGCCGATGACCTCCATCAACGCCCAGCGCCTGCCGGCGCCCAGCGGACCGGGCGACACACCGGCGGAGCGATCGGAGAAGCGCTTGGACATCGAGTGAGCCGACGGTGAAGGGAGGGAATGGGCGGGTGAAGGAGCGGTTTGGGGAGGGGGAAGGGGTGGTGGTTGGAGAAGTTCGCTTCGGCTTCGGGGTCGAATTTGGCTTCATTCCTTTTTGAGTTTTCTTTTTTCCTATAGGGATCCAAGTACCTTCTCAGAAAGTACCTTCTCAGAAGGTATTTGTCCACTGAAGATCTGTTGGAGCTGCTGGGATGAGAACAGCGCTGGAGTCGCTATCTCCTTTTTTGGTATACAACCGGGCCAACCCGTCCGCATGCAGCCGAGCTTCCAGCACGCAAGCGTTCCCAACGCACGAACCTGGTATGCCACGTGCTGAAGCCCAAGAGAGGACTGTGGCCGGACTGTGCTGTCAACGCCGCGCCGAGGTACGTGATGTGCTTTCAGTTGTCCAAGGAAGCGACTGCGGATCCCTTGGAGATTCATCTCATCGCCCAGGACCAGGCGCGGAGAGGTCTGGGGCGATGGGATGGGAAGAGGAAGACAAGACACGGGACGGTACTTGACCCGGGTGACTTCCAGCAGAATAGAGCATGTTTCATAGATACATCGGTTCTTGACTGCATCCTGGTTCTTCAAAGTGACCTTTTGATAACCTGGTTTGAGGTCACTTAAGCCTCCTAAGGGTCACTTAGGAAGCTTCAAAACATCACGTTCAAAAAGCTGGATGATTGTGTTTTTTTGTTTCCTGCTTTAGTTGGTGTGGTTGGTGTAGTGTGTGTGCACCTATGGACGCTCTCGTATTTGTTTGTTGGTCAACATATACGTATGTTTGATTTATGTTAGTTGGGTGTCGCTGGGTTTTTGTTTGCTTTTTGCTGGCCCAGTTCGATCCAATCCATCAAATCTGAAAGTTCCCCCATCATCTCGGGGAGCGAAGAGCACAGGGATTGTAGAAGAGTGGTTAATGGGGAGAATCCTGAGTCCTTGTATGTTCTTCATTCACTGCCAAGGTGCCCTTCTTTCTCTCACCCAAAACAAAATTGAGACCAACTGATAAAGAGCTTCATAGAGGTGGCTAGTGCCTGCAGAACCACATCATACGCATCATGGCAGCGCAGCAAACATGCGAGGTCACTTTGGGCGTGGGACGAATCAACTTGGAAGAGGTCATGAATTCCAAGGATAAGCAAAAGGAGTGGATCGAAGAGCCTTTGCTCCTTGGTTCACTGGGTGGAAGTGTTTGCAAGAAAGAATGGTGTGAGCCCTGTGGGTGGCTGTCAAATCCAGATAAGACCAGACAAAACACCCAGAGATGGAGAAAGTCCGGCAAACCAACAGACACTCCATTGTATAACATATTTACGTGCATTGGGACGATTTGGGGTGGTTTCAGGGGACATGAATCCGCTAAGTCTAGTCTATTATGACATGTAGTTTCATGTATTTGTTTCATTCAGGCGGTTCAGATGGTGGTTCACCCCCCCCAAAAAAACTCACATTTGATCCTGCAAGATATGGTACACTGCTACATGCCAAGATTGCATAAGAAACACCGAGAGATTCGGCTAGGGGCACACAACTTTGGGTAAAATGCGTTAGAATGAGTGAACACTAATCTCCATGATGATCAAGTGTGTTGTTTCGGACAACAAGGACAAACACATCAAACACACACAAACAACATACAACCTATAGTTCTTGTTTGTCATTTGCTTTGAACATAACACCAAAAGAACACGCGTTCCCAAAACATTCCTCGTTCGTTTCGAACACGGTCCACGAACCGGTCGCCCTGTCCACGTCCACACGATCCACACGGTACACGGTGACTCGCCGAGGGAGCTGGAGCGACCGCCCGAAGATGGCAACTTCATCCCGGACTTCTTGAATCGCAGCACGCACGACCTGCACGAGGCCCGGACCCGGGTCCGCGCGTTCGCGCGGCACGTGCGCGTGCAAAGGAGTCGCGCGGGAGACCGCGCGACCCATGCGACGACCGTCGTGCCGTCGGGGAGACCGCGCATAGGAGGGACATCCGTTCCGGGGGGTCAAACATGATCGATGGGAGTCGTTCTTCGGGGTGTGTGGAGCCACCGTGTGTAGCGGCAGGACATCATCGATGCAAGACACGACTCATGTTTTTTTTGTGACATAACTCATGGTCGAGGGCCAGAGCATTCTCATGGTTGAAGCTCACCAAGGCATGCCGTAGTTTTGTTCACCCTGGGCCGGATAAAAGGACGAGATCGACGGAATTCAAAGGGTGCCCAGCCCCGAACAGTGCGGAAAAAGTTTCAACTGTGAAAGCCAACGCAGGAGATGCAACAGATGTCACATGATATTCCGAGTTTATTCCTTTTCTTGTGTTCAGCTCAAGTGAAGAGCCGGACCCCCAATCTGAAGAAGATGCCTGGCAAGGACCTTCAAACCAGGGCATTGATGCGTGCAGTCATTTACATCCAGTCATTTGACAGTCATCCTCACAAAAAGTCGAGTCATGTATACTACTATCATTGTATACTTGTGATCTAGCTTTCGTCGGGCCAATCAATGCCAACAAGAACGATGCCATCACACTCGAAGTTGCTGAGTTCTCAGCCCTGGCTGCGTCCACTCCCACCGTGCTCCGGCTCAGGCTGCTCCTGCACGGTGCGAGGTCACTGTGTCCGCCCGGAAGCCCCAGAAGTGCGTCCGCCTCGTGGGCGGTGAAGGAGAACAACGGACTGTCTTCCTTAAGGACAGGGCAATCTGAGGGGACCAGGACAGGTGTTGTGAAGTTTGGTTGGTTTTCTGGGTTCTGAAGTGGCTGCAGCTTTTTCCGCCAGCTGGTTCAACGGTGTGAAGATTGCCATAAGCCACATGTGAAATGGTTTATAGTAATATACTATAGGCGACCACCCTGGCTTCCTGCATTGGCTTCAGCATGTAGCAGAGTAGCAGAGCTTATCAAGAAGATGATCAAACAAGTCAAGTGTTCATCGTTTCCTTCCAAACATGCTGGGGAGATATGGGTATAGAGAATGACCCTGCTCAGCCCTGATGTGTTCTGCTCACCCTCCCAGGTCATGGGGCTTCAGCCGGTGCCGACGAAAGCGGCGATCACCCACATGAGGCCCGGACGGCGGGGCGGCTTCAGTCAGCGCGCATGGCCTGGAAGAGGTTAATTGGCCCAACCCAACCGAAGATGATTCCAAAGTTAATCAGAAATGTGAGAGAAAATCGATGGGGAAGCTGAGCATTCCCAACCCTGCCATGTTTTTTTGGTTGACGTTTGTTTCACACCCTGTTCATGGATGAGGTCACCTCGCATCGCGTCGCAGAGCAAGAAGACAACGACCCACCGTTGGATTCGACGCCGACACGAGCTCGGCATGCGCAGGTCGACGTGACCTCGGCAGGTCGGGCAGGTCGTGTCTACACTCCCTGACCAGTGGAGCTATTTTATCCGTCCGTCAAGCGGAGGGATGGCGTTCCCGGTGCCCGACTCACTCCAACCATGTCGAACTTGGAGTGGGAGGTGTGGTACCACTCCAAACGGAGTCCCAGAATCCCACCCAAGACGCGTCCCGAGCCGCGGATGCGACACGTGAAGTCTTTAGCAACGAGACAGGCGACTTCGACGTCTCTCTTTTTGTTCGCAGGAAGCGATGCCAGCAGGCCGAGGTGCCTCAGCGAAAAGAATGGCTTCCGAACTGCTTGCAGGTGAAAGGACTCAACAAGCAATAAAATGCACCGAGTGACGTTTGATGATGGTTTTTTCGTATGTGCACCGTTTTCTTAGGACCCGAGCGAGGTTGAGTGCTACATCCTGTTTGTTTGATGATGTGTCATCTTTTTTTTCGTGTGAAGTTCCGAATGGACCATGGTAAAGCGAAAAAAGCCAAGGAATTTCGCATGCCTTCGCAGAGCAATTCCCTAAACCGATGGCAGCAGCCATTGGTGCAGCTTGGCCAAAGCATGTTCATCATTCTGCAGGAATGTTTTGTTGGTGTCCTAAAGTTGCAACAGACGTCAGACCTTAAGCATGTTCAAGACATTTCAACGTCCCAAATCCGGCTTTTTATAATACCAAAACAGTTCTCAGACGCAACAGATGGGACTGGAAACCTTTACCTACATGAACCCCAGGTCCATCAACCACCCCATGGAGTGTCTACCGGTTCTTGGGCAGACAGAGAAAACAAAAGCACAATGACATGGGCTGAGCGGCTGAGCGAGAAGCTGAGTCATTTGCAGAACCCATGAAACAAACATAAAACATCATAAAACACTTTAAAAAGGTGCAAGAAAACAAACCACAATTCTCCAGATGCATGTATTGATCCCAACTGCTCGGATCCGAATTGCGGTCGGAGTCATTGGATTGATTCCAGCTCGGTCCCACAGTCCGATGTGCGGCACCGCACGGTGCGACAGGGGCCGCGACACGACGAAGTGCACCGGCTCCGTGGAGTCCTTGGACTCTTGGTGAACGAGCGGGGATCACACTGGAAACGCTGAACAGCACGTCGGGGTTGTAGAGGAAAATAGAATCGTCACATCGTCTTCCAGTCTGGTCCCGTTTTTGCAGGTTCCATGTGAATTTTCCCGGGTGTATTACCGTGGACCTCAGTGTGGGTTTGAAACTCCGTGTTCCGAGACCCACATGGAAGCGGGCTTGGCATAGGACCAGACCGACTCAGACCATTGTTCCTCTACAAACCAGTGGTTTTTTCAGGTTCCATGTTAATCTTCCACCGCGGAGTACTGTGGTTCCTGCTGCAGTGAGGATACTGTGCTAAGTCAGGTTGCTTGATTCGGGCTTTTTTTTGTTTTGAGGATCCGTTGTGGTGCCACTGGTAGGTGAAATTCAAGGGTGAACACCTCGTGAAAGACCACGCGTTTGGGTTGATTCTGTTCTTTTGACTGCAATGTGAATCTTCTGGGAAGTGCAGGTTGGGTACCAACTTTCCCATAGAGAAGCACCCTGTTGTGATTTTTCAGTGCAAGGGTCCATTCAAAAGGAAGTAAAGGGAACACAGGTCAATTGTGCGTTTATTTTTTTTCTTCAATAGGTTGCATCCTCAACAACCGGAGAGTTTGTTTATTTTCTTTCCCAACACTCCCAGGTCCTCATCACATCAAACACTTGGTCAATTGAAGGCGCCCTGTTAATCAACAGTTAGATGGCCCTGGCCGTTCAGATGAACTCTTTCTTCAGCAGCTTGCCGCACTTTAACTCGCTGGTCCGAGTTACTTGGACAGAACGTGTTGCCATGTGTGACATGTCAGGACTGGTTCAACGCCTTCTTCGCCCGACTTTGGCCAAAGATCGCAAACTATGTGCAAAAGCTGATGGAGGAGTCTGAGAATAAAGCGTCATCCATCAAAAAATGGACATCCAAGGTGGTGGCATGGCTAGGTAGGCTTCCACGGAGGCGGCCTAATTCGCGCCAGTCCTTGAATGATGGATATGGGTTTAGTGAAAACACAAGCAGGGCAGGGATTCTACATGAGTCTACCGTCCATGTCAAGCCGGGTTGGTGCGCGGAATCGCCTGCTTCACTTCGATGTTGATAGGACCAGGAAGGCACCGTGACCCAGAGGATGCAAGCCAGCGTACCCAAGCTGCTGAAAGGCAAGTCACGCGATGGAGGAGTTTGCGTTAGAGGATGGGGATGCTGCATGCTGCAACCATTTCCCTACTGGTCAGTTGGACCTCATTGTACTGGAATTGATCATACAACAACAATCAACACATCACTGCTCGATTCTGATGCGGGAGCGGCAACCTGGACCAAAACCAGCGCTGGGGCCGAAACCAAGTGTGTGCACCAGCGGGGTCGTCGAAGTGATCAACCGGCGCAGCGGGGGCCACCGAGCTGCCAAGATACCATCGAGCTGCTAGGATGTTCGGCAGAACACAGCCGTCGTTTTTTGGCCCTTGCCCGGAGTGTTTACAGGCTGAAGTGACCTCAGAGTGACACCAGAGTATCAAAAGGTTAGGTGTCCCAAGGCACTTGCAATTGAAGTCACATCCTGCTGATGTTTGATGAACTCATGCAGTTACAGCATGTCTACACATTCCATATATGCCGAGAAGTGGACAATTGATGTCAATCCAGAACACTCCCCCAAGATGGTGATCAGTCGGGTGCTTTGCCAGTCTTAGACTCCACCCGTCTTCGCTCGGACACTCCACGGGGTCCAACAAGCCATGTACACAGCATCGTATGCAGCATAGTTCCCAAGTTCATGCGCAGAATCATCGATTTGTGTTGATAGGGATCGTTTGCTTGGGGCCAGCTATACTCATATTGGGGTGCCACAGGACTTGCCGCGCATGCAGACCGTGGCACGTAGACCGTGGCGCAGGCATGTACTTCAACAAGTTCAAGCTGGGAGGAAAGAGCTTCTCAGATGAATAGATATGAATAGCTCTACTTGACCTTCAGAACTTGCTTGGCTCTAATGACTTTTCATTGATTTCAACATCTTTATGATCCATTTGCTTTGACCTTCTCTGCTTGCGCCATCAACCATCCGTCTCCGCCTTGAAAGTGGAGCTCTACCAGGGCCTCCTTTTTCGGGGTGTCTATTAAAAGCACCCTCAGACGTAAAAGACATTCCAGGACCTTCAAAGTGACCGTCTTCATATATCACAGGATGATCGGCCACAAACAGGCCCGTCAGGTCGGTCACAAACAGACTAGGTCTCCAGTTTCAGGTCGTTCACTGACGGTTTCTTGGGTCCTTTTTTGATGACCAACTCCCACGAGTCAGACTCCCTTGGACCAACTCCCACTGGTCTCCCGTGGCGGCGTTGGGTGGCGTTGGGTGAGGCCCAGTCTTTGGGCCCATCAAGATCTCTGAAGCGCCGGAGCGCTGGGGCAAGGAGCCGGGCAAGGACAACAACCAAGGGCCACTTGAAACCGATCCGTCCGTGTCTCGCGGGACGGTTGTGGTGGGCGTTTTTTACACAACATAGGCGGTCACATGGTGCAAGTCTGGAACTTTGGCACCTAGTTGTTCTTCTTGTTTTAGTTGTTTTCTTGATTTGTTTATTGGTTGCCGTGGCCGTTGTTGTTTTTGTTGCTGTTGATTACCCTTTTGCGAAGGTCAAGGTGGGCGATGTTCTTCGGTTGATGTTGAGCTCCAGCCATCCTTTTCCCACACCACCCCGAACACTGATTCGTGACAAGCACCGATGCATAGGCAGAAGACCTCAGGTAGGCTTGGGCACTCTGGTTTGTTCACATCTCTTTGAGTTGATGTTTAATTACTTATTGAAAGGTGTCCAAAGACCCAAGTGTGTTTGTGCAGAAGAAACAACACTTGACCCATTCGCATCAAGCCTATTCCGCCCGAAAAGTAGTATTACTTACCTTTTAGGATCAGTGACGGTTGAGAGGAGGATTTGTTTGCAGCCTCAAATTCAAACTGAGACCTCCAAAAAAGAACCAGGCATAAGATGGCATAACTTATAACTCAGCACACCAACAAAGACAGCCCCTCTCCTCTCCTACTGGTCCCAGGTCAGAGATCCGATTGGGAGTGAAGTTGGACTCTGAGTCGCAGATCGAACTCACCATCATGGCCGTGAAGGTGCTGTGGTGGCGGGGACCTGCCCTGAGAACTAAGCGTCATCATGGATGAAAGGCGCCAACTTGGGTCTTCAGCATGACCATGACATATCCGAAGACCCAAGTTTGGGGGGTGGCAAACTCCACGAAGGCATGCTTCTTTGGGTAGGAGAGGAGGGCTCAGAGTGTTCCATGTTTGGTGATTTCGACGGAGTTGCGGGAGCGCACACCTATTCGCTTTGGTCAGAGGCAAGGATTCATGGTACTGTTTCAATCAGCCATTGTTGCTTTTGGCTTCTCATGCACATATATCCCTTTTCTTGCATGTCAAGCAGAAGATCCAGCTGGTGGGACCTGACCAAAAATAAGACGTCCACAACTCACACTGCATGTCTACAAAGACAACTCACCGCATTTAGATTCCGCTTTCATCCGCAATCAAATAAGGGACACAGGAACCCCAAATGGTGTGTTGAAATGATGGTTCACAATTAGCAAACTGTTGATGCATTCTCTTTTAGAATAGGGACCCCTATACAAGAGAGTAGAATTTGCGATATAACTTATCGGAGGGCTGGTAGCCATGACCCGTATTCGTGGTCCAACTACCGGTGCCGTGCCGATCGGCATGCCGTTCAGGTCGGCATCCATCGGCTGCAAGTGCGCGGCGAGATCGCCATCCGTTTCGAACCCCTGCTGGGTCAAACACCTGTGATACTTGGTGTTTCGGGGCCTGTGGGAGACTGGATCAGACGAGATCAGAAATCCTGTTAGCAGGGTTGCGAAGATAACACACCACCAGGTTAGAAACTGAGGGTTCTCATCAAGCTGGGAGTGCTTCCTTTAAACCACTGTGTACCCGGACCATCGAATGGAATTCCCATGGAAATACCTAATTAAGTAGTGCAGGGTAGTCCATTGGACACGGATGATGTTCCTAGTACATAGTTATCAGTTATCAGATGTTATGATGGTTAAACTTAAACCTTTCGCACAGGACCGATGATTCCCTGGAGCTCAGATCCATCACGGACGGACATTCAGAGTCTGAGAGGATTGAAACATGAGGAAAGTTGATCGACCACTCACATGCCAGAAACGTGCAAAACAATATGTTGGTGCATCCAATATATGATCCACAGCGATTTATAGATACTGCCAACACTCCATGAGCAGGTGATTTACGGCATAGGTTGGTGAAGTTGCTGCAAGTGATAAAAGTAGAAGATAATTCTGCATGCCACATGCAGGACACCCTCAAAATCTTTTCCATGCCCACTATTCAGGGGCCTAATAGTCTCCAAACGCTTCTAATGTCGGAGTTTCAATCAGCAAAGCTTTACACGGATGACCTCTACTCCCAGACTAGACTTGGAGCAACTCAACCTTTCATGTTTAGTTTTAAAAGTAACACATGATTTGATTCCAGCTGCTGGTTCGTCATTTTCGAAGAGTCCGTTGCGAAGAAAGAAAGAAAGTAACACATGGATCAGATCCCTTGGACTCATCAATGCCTTTTTGAATGCAGCTTTTCAGTTGGGCTCTCGTACATGCTGAGGATCGGTGGTCTGGTTCTTTGCTTCTTGAACCCGCCCAAGCTTGCCATGGACTGGAGCTCGAAATCGATAAGAAACCGTAAAAACCAAGTGCCGGACCAGTGGGAACAGAGTAGCTGGGATGAACTACAGGGAACTCTAACCTTCTCAGCAGGTGATTGCAGACACTGTTATGTAGGTTTGGAGGGCCTTCCATGGCAGTGAAGGCGAAGGTGTGGACCTGTGTGGACGAATCATCCAGTTTGCAGGCATTCGCAGCTAAAGCTTAAAGCCAAAGGAGAGTTAGGACATCGTTCTTCGTGAGGGCTGGGGGACACCAGCACGTGCTTCACCACGTGGACACCGTCAGGAGTACAAACATTTTGCCACCCTCGTGGGCAACACGACCTTGGAGCCCATGGTGAGGGGCGCTATTGACCGAGCCATCGCAAAGGCGCACCGACGGACACGGACACAACGTGGGACACGACCCGGGTTCTGAGTTGAGTCCTGGTCTACAGTACTGGTAGTAGTACTGGTCTATCGCATTGGAATGGAATGGTGCTCCAACTAGCTTTGTTTCGAAGTGGCTTGGGGGATCGGATTGGAGAATCAGTCCCTTGCATGTCAGGCTCCAAGTCATGTGGCACCCCCCCTCCCAATTGGGAAGCGAAGTCCGGACCTGTGGTTTTCACACGAGTGACGAGATAAGATACTCGATACTCAGCTCGTTTCCTTTTGGTTTCCTTTTGACGGTTCAAGCGGTCAAGGAAAGATGTCAGCGCTTGCTCGGTGATTTTGCTTTTTGCCTAATTGGAAGTGGATCAAAGAATGTCCACAGTCAATCTGCAAATGTGCAGATGATCATTCAAGATATTCAATCTGATTTCAACAGAACGGTCCAACCGCGTCCCCACCATGCTCCGACCGTCCCGACGCCACGTCCCGACGCGACGTCACCGTCACCGCTGCCGCGTCCGCCGCGTGCCGGCGCTCGAGGCGCTGGTGATGCCGAACGTGATCTCGGTGCCCATTGGGAGCGAAGAGCTCCTTGGAGTGAACGTGATGGTCGTGCTGGTCGTGCGGCCAGCGGTCTCACCGGGGGGTGAGCCATGAATCAAACGGTTGAGACGGGGAGGTGTTGGTTTGTTGCTTGTTCCACGACACATGGAGCGAAAAGAAAGAACAAACACACCCAAAAAGAAGTACTCCAGCGAAACTGAAACTGAAGGGATATCTCTCACTGTTCATGGGTCAAAGAAGATTGTGCATGTCGTTGGGATCAGTAGGGCTCTGGAGTGGTATACTTTGAGCCACTCAAAGACGCCTTGTTTGAAGAAGTAGCTGAGCTCAAAGACGCCTTGTTTGCTGTGGGATGATGGTTCATTGCTTCTTATAGGAAAGCTTCAGCTTGACGTTGGCGGAACGCTAGGTCGAACGTCCCTTTCTTTGTGTTTTCATGCCTTGAAGTCATAGGACTCTTCTGGTGACGATGGTGAAACTCAAGTATTTGGGTTAAGGGAAAGTAGACCCTCAAGGGTGCAAACACGGATTCTTGGTCATCCCCCTCCTTGAAGATGTGACCCACCTGTGCATTGGCACGTTGATCACGTGATCCGGGTCTCCGGTACCGGCACCGATTCGGCCGAGTCGGCCGGACGTAGACCCGCCGTGCCCAGGAAGGGCGTGGACCGCAGCCTGCTCCGACATCCGCGACCCTTGGGCATCGTGCGCGTGCGGGCCAAGTCCGCGAGCGGCCTGCCAGGCGCGCGCTGTCGGAGTCGGAAGAACGCCCGCGGAGAGTCGTGGGCGAAGGAGGAGTTCTGTTTGGTCTATGAAAGGTGGCTTGAAGAAGATGTTGTCATCCATTGAATTCGTAAGGAAGACTAAGACATGACCTAAGGTACAGGAATTCATGCATTGATAATTGTACTATAAGGTGTATAAATGAGTTCCACTTGTCTCTCATCATGGCTCCAACGGCGTTCTTGTTCGGGTGTTCGTCAGCATAGCACCGGTGGGCCTGGGCCCCGGTTTTTGGACCCGATGCGCGAGCCTTAGACACAGGTCGTTTTTTCAGTCGTTTTGAGGGTGACCATGGCGCCCTTTCGGTCGTTGAGTTCCACAAAAAGGATGTGGGGTCGGTAGAGCCTGACGATGTGACAGATGTGACCTCGTTTTTTACATGGTGCTGCTTAAGGCCATTTTTTGAGTTTCTAAAATCCAGGGAAATATGTTCTTTCCAGATTCCTTAATTAAGCAAATCCAAGTCTAAGTCTCCTCCTTGTTTAATGGTGTTCTGAGAAGGTCCAGCCACGTCTTGAAACATTCAATCCTCCTCCTGGTCCCGTCCCTCGTCATACACATACATGACATCCAGATCAGCTGCCTTTTTGCGATGAAAAGCGCATCCGTAGCGCGTCCTTGCCTTCCGATCTGCTCAGATGGGCACTTGCACTTGTTCAGCAAGCAGAACATCGATGCTTACATGCGAGCCACTCGGATCGTTGACCTGTTCGCGCCGTCGACTGCCTGGGATTCCCCTGGACCGCGCGGACCTGCGCGGTCGACTAGGCGACCAGTCGACTGCTATCAGAGCTGTTCATCCAGGTCTGCCGTGTTTCGTTTGGCTTGAACATGAAGTCCACTTCTGCGTCACCAATCCCCCAAACACGCAATCCCGCCCAATTGCTTCCTCCGGGAGCTGTTCATATACGGTTCGCCCAGCCAATTCGCCTCTTCCGCACCATCCGCCAGTTCTAGCGCCACATCGGCAAACCGGTGGCGCTAGATCCGCACGTGTTCGCTGCAGATCCGTGTGGCCGACGACGAGTGGCATTCCTCGGTGGCGGTGGGCAGCTCTCCAGCCACCCGACGCAGAGAGGGGGCAGCCGTCGGTTTCGTCGCACCGGCGGACGGACGTCGAGTCGCGGCACCGGACGGGAGCAACATCTGGACGAGAAAACGGTCGCCGGCGAACGGAAGGACTGCATAAGGCTGGGGGGGGCGCCGGCGCCACAGAATAAGGAAGAATAGATGTGGAAGAAAAAACAGTTTTCTTTTTCCATTTCAATTTACCTGGCTGGCACATTTCAGGATTGACTTCCAGGGAGTAATCAGCTGATTCACTTTTTGAAGGTGATCTCGGGTGCAGCATGTGAACAAGGGAATGGTTGGGCCTGCGGCCAGCGTACGTGGATCTCAATGGCCAAACTAGACTCGAGCCGCTCGAGGATGAGCTAGGTGCAATGCAGACGCTTGATATAACAATTTCCCCCCAAACATTGAATCTCTTCATGATATAGATTTATTACTCGATGAAGATTCTCCCTTACGTTTGATTTCACAGAGGGAACTGGTCAACTTTGGTAGTGTAGGATTTCCTGCTCCCACCCAGATCTTCCAAGAAGAAAACACTATTTGTCTACCCACATGGGAAGATGGATTCCGATCTCCTTCTTTGGGACATCAACTCAAACGGTGAGACATGGCTGTGGGTCACAGGTCAAAAAACCCTGAGTTGAGGCCGGTCAAATGAACAGATTCCTTTATAAGAGATATAAGAGATGCCAACCTCCCATGGTTTGGTGGGGGAGGTCTTGACTCACAGCCACATGTAAGGTGGGCTCCTAGGGAATGGCCAAGAAAAGGGGCACGAAGCCAGATGTCTTGGAAGGACTCTAGACGAAGAAGATAAGGCCATGTGGGTCAATTGAGAGAAGAGATGTCACAGAAACACCGCTGGACTCGATCTGAACCCTTCGTACCTTGGAACGGAACTCCCAAGTACGACTTCCACTTCCGAACTTGGGACATGACCCCATTTTGCCCCCAAAAAAACAAAGTAAGACGGGGCGGCCCCATACTCTAAGACTGAGGCCCCAAACTCCAGGTATATAGCTCTTTTGACGAACTGCTGTGAGTCATAGTGTTTTGGAGGTGTTATTTCTTGCCGCTCTTGTTTTTGGAGGTTTGGAGCGTCTCGGATATTCACTGCTTTTGGTTTTGGGATTGGAGACAGTTCCCTGGTCGCAGCACGTTGGC